ACAGACAGACAGATAGATAGATAGATAGACAGACAGATAGACAGACAGATAGATAGATAGACAGACAGACAAATAGACAGACAGACAGATAGATAGACAGACAGACAGACAATTAGACAGACAGACAGACAGATAGATATATAGATAGACAGACAGACAGGTTTAAATGTATTGTATGAATTGCCCTTACTATGGAATAAAAAATATGGGGTGTCTATTTACATTTAGTTAAAAGTAACTATAAATCATCAGTTCCAGTGGCGCAGATGGATAATTGCGTGCACTTGGCTTTTTGACACAGTCGACCCGGGTTCGATCCCGCCTTTTGCCGAACTTTTTTTTTTCTCCCTTTTCAAATCTCGTATCACAATATGAAATGAAAACCTTCACTGTAATTACTGCTCAACAAACATACCTGTTTTATAATGCTTTAAAATAATTGCTAAACATGTATGCATTAAATGTAATTTGCCTTTTGTAGTCATAAACACCACAACTATCAATTATTTTCTTCAAATGTGAACACTTACGCTTACAATGGACAGACACATCCGTCTAGATAAACAATTAAAAGCAGCAGAGTGGAACACAAAAACACTTTCAGTAAGAAACAGCCCTAAAACTAGACTAGAAATTATCATAATGTGGCTATGCTTCTTGCCTCCATCTACTCCTGCTTACTTGCTATTATTCAGATTATTGTGAGCTATAGCCTGTCTTTTCAAGATATCTTTTTTTAATTTCTAAGTTATAAATAATGGTATATCTACTTTTTACTTTTGAACTTAGATTATATGTATATCTATATATACAGTTGTGCTCATAAGTGTACATACCCCTTGCAGAATATGCAACTATGCTAATAATTGTAACAAAATAACAGAGCTCATGAAAATTGCATGTTATGTTTTATTTAGTACTGTCCTGAATAAGCTATTTCACATAATAGATGTTGATATATATACTCCACAAGACAAAATAATAACTGAATTTATAAAAATTACCCTGTTCAAAAGTTTCAAATCTTAATTACTGTTTCTCTGTTTTGTGATAGTTGTTCATGAGTCTTGCGTTGGTCCTGAGCAGTTCAACTGCCTGCTGTTCTTCAGAAAAATCCCCGGCTCCTGCACATTCTTTGGTTTTCCAGCATCTTCTGCATATTTGAACCATTTCCAAAAGTGACTGTATGATTTTTTGAGATCCATCTTTTCTTCTTTAACCTCTGAAGGGCAGCACTAAAAAAAGAAAAGATATTTAGGCAAAATAAGAAAAAGGTACACATCTCCATTCTGTTCAAAAGTTTTCACGCTCTTAATGCATGGTTTTTCCCTCCAAAAAAAAGTGAGCATTTGAACCATCTAAGATTCAAGGGTACGTAAACTTTTGAACAGGGTAATTTTTATAAATTCAATTATTATTTTGTCTTGTGGAGTATACTGTATATACAGTGGGTAAAAAAAGTATTGAACAGGTCACCATTTTTCCCAGTAAATATGTTTCTAAAGGTGCTGTTGACGAAATTTTCACCAGATGTCGGTAACAACCCAAGTAATCCATCCATACAAATAAAACAAAACAAATAAGTAAAGAAATTAAGTTATGTGGAATTAAGTTAAATGGAATGACACTTTTTTGCAATTTTCATGAGCTCTTATTTTGTTAAAATTAACATATTTGCATATTCTGCAAGGGGTGTGTAAACTTATGAGCACAACTGTATATTAGAAGATCCCACAGACTAACATTACAGAAGAAGGTCCCCATAGAAACCAGTTAGACAGAGACATAGGGAAGAAACATGTTTCTTTATTGACATGGAGACTCATACCTGCAGCTTTCACACCACAAATGCTTGACTTTTGCAGAGCTAAAAAAAAAAAAGTCTAATTCATACAGTACAAGAAACTCATAGCCGAATATTTGCATCTTCACTGATACATTGCAAGAACAACATCTCTGCCCAAAACAGGACCCTCAGGACTTCAAGAGCTAAAAGCAGACGTGGCAAAACATATCTCTCTCTATCAGCATGCAGTGTGGAGTTTGTATAGGTCAATCTTTATTTGAAATGTGAACCGTCATTTATCACACAAACACAAACATACAGACAAGATGCTGAATGTTTTTAAAGGCACAGTTGAGCCAAAAATAAAATAAAAAAAAAAAGTCTTTCCAAACCTGTTTTTTTCTTTTTTTGACAGTTAAGCACATCTAATAACAGCACTGAAAATATTCCCCTCTTATTTCATTTGCATTACATTAGGACTGTTATTGCATGGAAACGAGCAGCATGAACATTCATCAAAATATCATTCAGCCTACCAAAATACAGATAAATGACTGACGTTTTATTTTTGGATGAACTATCCCTTTAGGTCCAGTACATGAGGTACAGTTTAGAAATGGTTAGTGAGCTCTAATTAGCCTCTACTGCATTACACACACACACACACACAGAGCAGCTAATGCTGCACATCAAAGGGACAGAGCAGTAACCAGTGGCAGGAGCTGGCTCAGCTCAGCCTCTATGTTGGCAGTTTTGTGGACAGGGTTTCCACACAGGTCCAGTCTGGTCAGTTTGGTGCAGGACGCCAATGATTCAAGATCAGACAGCTTACAGATTTCTAAAAGATGCGTTAAGAAAATATTTTTTTATGGTTCAGAGTACCACACTAACATTCAGACAAGACATACTGAGATACAGTGCATTACAGATTCTGCTAAAAGAGACATAAAAATATATTATGTACACATGGGAAACATATTTCGGTAACTTCTTATGCTGCCTTTTCAGATTTGTTGACCCTCCATAATCCTACATAATCTGTAGCTGTTTATTAATGAAGAATACTGAATCCTTGAAACATGGTCAAACCAGGCACTGGCTCTGACACCAGAAAAGGAGTTTCTTATAAAACAATTTCGGTAACTTCTTATGCTGCCTTTTCAGATTTGTTGACCCTGAAATAATCCTACATAATCTGTAGCTGTTTATTAATGAAGAATACTGAATCCTTGAAACATGGTCAAACCAGGCACTGGCTCTGACACCAGAAAAGGAGTTTCTTATAAAACATTTGGATTTTTTGGAGAAAAGGATACGGTTGTTCCTCAGAGAAACTTCCTCTAGTTTAGGCAGATGATACAGTCCTTCCAGACTTTCAATAGCATTATCATCGGCCTCCAGCACCTGTGTGTGTTGACAGAGGCATTAAACCACAACAGTGTGATCATTCAAAAGAAAGACTGAGTGACAGGGAAGGGAAGAGTGGGAATGGAAAGAGAAGGCAAGGAATGGAATGGTAAGGGTAGGGGTATGGGTATGGGAAGGGTAAGGGTAAGGGGTAGGGTATGGGTAAGGTAGGGAAGGTAAGGGTAAGAGGTAGGGTATGGGTATGGGTAGGGAAGGGTATGGGTAAGGTAGGGAAGGTAAGGGGTAGGGTATGGGTATGGGTAAGGGGAGGGTATGGGTATGGGTAAGGTAGGGAAGGTAAGGGTAAGGGGTAGGGTATGGGTATGGGTAAGGTAGGGAAGGTAAGGGGTAGGGTATGGGTATGGGTAAGGGGAGGATAGGGAAGGGTATGGGTAAGGTAGGGAAGGTAAGGGTAAGGGGTAGGGTATGGGTCACCAAGAGAAGTTGATCAAGGTGACACAGGGTCGTTAGGTTCTGTGTTAGGAGCGAGAGAAAGACAAAGAAAGAAGTTAATCTTTCGTTTCAAGCACTGTAACATTGACTGAAAAGAATGGAAGATTTTCTGGAGAAGGATGAGGCCACCACACTTCAAAAAACCTCAAGAGAAACTCACTAGAAACTGAGTGGCTGTTTGAATGCAAGAAAACAAGTAAAGCATGAATGAGGGATTGGTGTAATACCGGTAATAAAGATTGTAAGATGAATTCCTGTTGTCATCTGTAGTTTGATAAGCAGGGTGTAAATGCTGTTGTCACTACACTGACAGAAACAAGGAAGAGATGTGTGTTTATACAGTGACTAAATCCAGAACACCAGTATGGGTGTTTCTATAATATCATATTGAATATAATTAAATCTATTTCTTAATCAATTTTCTAAATCCTTTAATAGGCACACCCAGAAAAAGATGCATTAATTATTTGTAGTTTGTCATTCCTTGTATAGAAGAGAACTGATGCCACATTGAAATTCAATCATTACAAAGCAACAACAACATGATACAATACACCCACAACAAAACTTTTTAATAAATTCACCAAAAATTATGACAATGAAAATGGATATAAATTGCACTTTTTTAAACACATAAGAATGTTTTAATTGTATACAGTGGGTACGGAAATTACCATTCAGCTTTTTGTTATTTTGATATTACATCATAAAGTATGCTTGTGAAAAGATTCACATCCTATGCCAGATTTCATTGCTGCTTACATCATAAAATGATGCAAAGAGTTTTAACTACAGTTTAGACTACTGTGATAACCAATTATTTTTGTGCTTAACATTTAATACTCAAATGGTTATGATGACTAAATGAGTGAAGTACAACATTTTTTTAACAGGATTTCACATTTAAAACATGCTCTATTAAATGGCTGAAATCCCTGTCAAAGATTTCGAGAGTCAAACAACTATTATGTCTCACGTGCCGATGCTTGAGCAAGACTACTGTACATTACTCATGTTTCTGTCATCACATTCATGTGTCAAATCAGTTTCTACACAGGTGAAGACATTTAAACAATGCTGTCACACTCATTACACAAGAACAGGAAGACATTAACTTTTTAAAACATCCTGACGATATATGAAAAATGTCTGAAAAAATGTACAGTAAGTTTAGACATTTAGGTTGGAGTTATTTAAAATTAATAAATACAATGTCAGATATTTACAATTTTGGTTAAATTCATACATATTAAATAGGGCAAGATTATTGGCATAAACTAAATATTACACTGTATGTGTGTGTATTATATATATACATATATATAAATCTATAGACCAATTCAGAGTAGACGTCACAGTTACGTCACTTGCAGCTGCGCGCACATAGTGGTTGCAGAAAAACACTGGGAACAAGTGGAGGTAAATGGGTAAAATCCATGGAATAAAAGAAAAACTTTATAACTCGACTTAACTCAAAAATAGTGAGTTTGTGAAATCGGAGGGAAAAAAGCCAGAAGAGCCGAAGGGAAAAGAGAGAATGACGAGGTGTTTATCCTTATTAGAATTGTGAGATATAATCTCAGAATTGCGAGAATAAAGTCAGAGTTTTGAAATATTTACCTTTTTTAAATTCTTTTATTCCATGGCTCAATAGACTGCCGCTTGAAAACCGTCATTTTCTGCCTCCAGATAAGCTCCGCCCACAAAAAACGTCATCCCTGTTTCGGATCTGTAAGACTATCGCACTCTCTAACGTCAATTTCGTTGAATAACAGTGCTTATCGCTGGGTGACAAGCTCTTGTAATATGCAGAGAACATTTTGAAAATGACATCTAATCAATATAATTTATAATCTTTTTAAAACTAACTATTTTGTACCCTATCCGTGAAATTCTCTAGCCGTAAAGGCTATCTCTCCTGGGTTTTCTGCAACCATGATGCGCGCGCATCCTGAATGTTTACAAACCTATAATTGGTCTATAAAACCTTAAATAAACTGAAATAAATTGAAAAAAAGTGGTTACAGAACTAACTAAAATGAAAATATTTATTTTTAGTTACCATTTGTATAAAGGTGATTATACACGGGGCAACTTTTTGAGCAATGTTACCGTCAACGGGCAACGAGGTGACAGGGCTCTAGACTCATTCTTCTCACTGGTCGCTCTTTTGCGACTTTCGCAACTTTCTCATTTGGTCACACTCACACGAGCACATGGTTTGGTCCAATTTTTATTTTTTTTTTGCTACAACATGGGATTAATCAATGCATGCTGAACTTTTATCATAGTTTATATGTCTTTGGTCTAGAGCAGTTCTTGTTAATAATATCTGACAAATGTCGACATTTTGCTTTTTTCACTGCTTTCTGATATTTAAATAGAGAGTCCTTTAAAATCTCAAAAGAAACATGAAGCCTGTCCTTTTTCCACTTGCGTTCTGCTCTTCTACAACATTGTCTGAGAGAAGGAACAGTCTCATCAATCCAGGGTTCAGAGCGGGTTTTAGACTGGAGAGTCCTTAAAGGGGCCACAGCATTTAAAACATTAGAACAGGTGGAGTTAAACCTGAAGAGGAGTTCCTCGACGCTAACATCACAGGAAAAATCGACAATAGACGGCATCACTTCATGGAAAATTGATTAAAAAAATAAAATAAAAAAAGAGTCTTTTGTAGTATGAGTAGACAACTTCTTTTTAAAGAAAATAACAAATGAAAAAATATATAATCTTAATCTATGACAGACAGCCGCAGCAGAGAGAAGAGTTTCCATGAACTTGAATTTAGCGACTTAAATATTCATCTATACTTCACATTAAACTGTGGAACGGCTATAGTGCACGAGAACTTTATGGTGCTTTATAATGTTTTTTTTTTTTGCCTTTCGTGGGGCTTAACAACACAATAGTATAAGTAGAATATCGGATTTGGATCGGTCTCATCTGACCGATACGGCAGAAAATACAAGTATCGGAGCCGATACCGATACTGAGTATTGGATCGGTGCATCTCTACTTGTAATGCCTCTTTGGCGCTGACTTTGTATCTCCAGCAGCTACAGCAGGAAAACAGTAATGGCGGTCTGCTGCTTCTCACTCAGGGCTGTGTTTATGTTAATAGGGCAGAGACTGTCACAAATGGGCGTGACTTTTTCCCTACGATGACGTATATGTAGGGAGATTCTGAAATCGCTTGTTCAGAGCACTGTTTATGATTTAATGGGATTATATATAAAATGAGTGGGTGGAATTTTACCATTATAGGCTGGTTGTTTTCACACACTGCAGCCACACAACTGTGTCCAAACACCTTATAAAAGTGATTTTTGCATAATAGGTCCCTTTAATATGCATGATATGGAGGCAAGATGAAAAGAAAATACCATCTAAACTTTTCTAAAACAGTCAGTTCCACTCAGAGATACACTCATATACACCCCCACCACCAACTGTATTGGGATTCGTTTAACATCTCAACTGAAAACAAAATAATTATAACTAAATAAAACAATTAAACACTAATGGCTCGTTTCCACTGAGCGGTACGGTTCGGTACAGTACAGTACGGTACGCAATTATGTCCGTTTCCACTGTCAGAAGTTGTGAATGGTACCAAAATAGCGAACCATACCATACCACTTTTTTAGGGTACCTAGCACAGCAAAGGGTACCAAAAGGGTGGAGCTAAACTCACCACAGAACACTGATTGGTTGACTAGAATCATCACTTTTGCGTGGTACCAGGGGATAAAGCGTTCTTCACTCATTCCGCTTTGCTGTCCATGAGTGTTGGGCTTATTTACATCAGAGTGCGCAAACACAAAAAAATATAACCGTGTATTTTATAATTTTCACACAGACAATAGCCGTTTCTCAATATGCATTCTTGTGGACTTGTGAAACGTCATTGCCCAAAAATCCGCTTAATTTTCTAAATATTACCGTTATTGTGTCATGAAATGTAGTTTTAAGGGTTTTTCAGGCGAGAATGTAATTGTTTAAAACTCAAATCTGCGGTTTATTTATAAAGACAGCGCCTATTTGAAAATTTGCTATGCCGATTTCAGAGCTCCAGGCGATCAGCGGGCGCTCAGTGCTCATGTATCCGCCAAGAGCAGCCTTAGCTCGGCTAGTCCTTCTGACATTTGCCACTGGCTCTGATGTCTTTGTAGTGATTAAACATGGCCCTGCACCACGCCTATCAAGAAGGGTACTATTGGCAGTGGAACCGCAAGCCTGATCAGGGTTACCCATACCGAATCGTACTGTACCGTACTGCTCAGTGGAAACGAGCCATAAATTTAATTCTAAAAAACTGTCAGACCAGAGTTGGGCTCTCTTACCTTATTTGACAGGCTAAACACTCGCACCTCTGCATACTCCATTTTCAGAATGGTGTTTTCAATCAGAAACTTGCTGCACAGGTCACTGTAGTAGGTAGAGCGCATCGGGTCCACTTCCTGTGAGAGAGAGAGATAGAAAAAGGCCAATTAAACTGCCTTCTTTTAAGTGGTGTTTACAAAGCCAAACATCACTATTACTACATTGCTCATACTGAGGAGTTAGTGATTTGATATTGATTTCTATTATGGATTTTCATTGAGGTTGTGATAGTATTTTCTCACTTTAAGGGTTTGAAAATGTGCCAGTGTCTCTTTCTCATGGCCTAGAGGATCCAGAGCTCTCATGAGGAGTATGATTGTAAGCAGACACCCTGAAACACACACACACGTTTATTTTGCCAAAGATAAGGCAGCAAATTCAAATGCAATGTGAAGTATGCATGTACAAAACACACACCCAAAGAAAACACACTGACACACACTTACATTTGTTCTGCGGTTCGAGCTCTAGCAGCTGATTGCAGGACTGAAGCTCTGCCTGTAACACTGAACTCTTCTCAACCGACAGCTCACTCCTGCCACACACACACACACACAATATAAGAAGTCAGTTATTCGCACAGAACTTAGATAATGTATGTACAAAATGTATGAGATATACACACACACACACACACACACAAGCAATTGATCTATGTTCTGGTAATAACTTAGTCAACACAATCAAACACTAGTAAGACATTACTCTCCTCATCACAAGACCTCTTTGACACATGAAACAATTGTGTTGCAAATAACTGGCATAAATCTGATAAGTGATTATTTTACTTGTTGATGTCAGTGACAGTTAAAAGTGTAATACACACATCCACACCTTAAGAAGTCAATTACTCACAAAGAACTTGGATACTGTATGTACAAAATGTATGATATATATATATATATATATATATATATGGGTAGTTTTAATCAAAATTATTTTTGATTAAATACCGTTATTTTTTTTTATGTACACCGTTGACATTATAACAGTTTCATTCTAACCTCAACCAAAACCCTGCCCTCTAAAGATATGTGAGCAAACCTGAATCTGTACAATGATTGACAGGCAGGGGGTGGGACACCACCCTGACAGCTGTTTACAGAGAACTGGGCTGTGATATCTCAGGACACCTATATCAGTGATATCTGTCAGGTAGGGAGGTTATTTCTGCTTTTTCAAAAACAAATCACCTGCAGTAACTTTAATTATGAAAGTTCAACAAACATTTCATTCATGAGTGAAACATGAATGTGGACAACGGAGCAGTGCAGCAGCAACACTTTACATATTACACATGTTTGATAAAGTCCATTAAGAGGGAGACATTTTTTATAATATTCTGTTTTTGCAGATTTGCAGTTCAGTGTTTGGTTTTTCTGTGTCTTGAGAAAAAAATAATGTTTGAGTGTTTAATTAAAACTTGATGACATTCCGAAGCATTTCTTTGCAACGTTTTAATGTATCAAAATTAATTTGCTATGATTTAATATTACATTTTAATATTCAATGTATTGTTTGCATAAAATATTTGAATTTTACATATGTGACCCTGGACCACAAAACCAATCATAAGGGTCAATTTTTTTAAATTGAGATTTACATTTTTTATATATTGAGATTTATATTTTACTGAATAGATAAGCCTTCCATTGATGTATGGTTTGTTAGGAATAGAACAATATTTGGTCGAGATACAACTATTTGAAAATCTGGAATCTGAGGGTGCAAAAAAATCTAAATATTGAGAAAATCATCTTTAAAGTTGTCCAAATGAAGTTCTTAGCGATGCATATTACTAATCAAAAATTAAGTTTTGATATATTTACAGTAGGAAATTTACAAAATATCTTCTTAATATCCTAATGATTTTTGACATAAAAGAAAAATCAATAATTTTGACCCATACAATGTATCGTTGGCTATTGCTACAAATATACCCCAGCGACTTAAGACTGCTTTTGTGCTCCAGGGTCACATATAGCTTTTATGACGCGTTACTTTATTGCTTCAGGTTATGACACATTGTTGGATTCAAAAAGACTTATTTTTTTTGAATTTTATATTTTAATTTATTTAAAAGTTTGAGGTCTATAATTTTTTAAATATTTTTTATGCATTTATTTAATAAAAAATACAGTAAAAATAGTAATATTGCACAATATTATTACAATAACCATTTTCTAATGTTAATATATTTTAAAATGTATTATCCAGTCTTCAGTGTCACACGATCCTTCAGAAATCATTCTAATATACTGATTCGCTGCTCAAGAAACATTTCTGATTATTATCAATGTTGAAAACAGTTGTGCTGCTTCACATTTTTGTGGAAACTGTGATTTATTTTTCAGGATTCTTCAAAAACAAAGTTCAGAATGCTCAAAAGTATTTATTTGAAAGAAATCTTTTGTAGCATCGTAAATGTCTGCTGTCACTTTTGATCAATTGAATGCATCTTTACTAAATAAAAGTTCCCAAACTTTAAAATGGTGGTGTATTAATTAGGCTAAGACTGATGGACAGGTGTTCGTTTCCAATAAAATGCAATGTTTATTGCATATATGCACAGTATTCATCTTAAGAATCAAGCTCATCTTCAAATTTTAGAGATGAATGGTTTAGTTATTGTGACAAAGTAGTAAAAAAATAAAACAATTTAACAGTCTCTTAGCATGAACACACATACATTACAGACACACAGCAGTACCTGAAGAGCTCCTGATCGGTGGCAGAGTCTCTGCACCAGCTTTCAGCTGAGCCTAAAACATGACAGAGACGTTTACACTTGCTCTCTCTGCCCATCTTCATCCATCTCTATTCAACAAATACAAAATCCTCCTCCTCAGCTGTATTTCCCTGCAAACACTCCACCACCTGCACATGTCAGTGTGATGCTCACCTGTGTAGAGAGCACAGTCTCTGTGTGTGTGTTTCTCTGTCCAGTGGACGGTCAGGTTGTGTTCATTACTTATATCACTGACGGAGCCGGGAGGAAGATCACACAGCTGACAGAGACAGTTAAAGATCTGTGTGTGAGTGTATGGATAAATAAGACTATAGATCAATTGCTTTAAAATGAAAGGAAGAGCTCATTATATTAAAAAGCATCTGAAACATTCTGATAAATGTCTTCTTTTGTCATACAGGTTAAAAGGAATAGTCCGCCCAAAATGAAAATGTGCTCATCCTCAGGCCATCCAAGATGTAGATGAGTTTGTTTCTTCATCAGATTTGGAGAAATGTAGCACTGCATCACTTGTTCAGCAATGGATGCTCTGCAGTGAATGGGTGCCGTCAGAATGAGAGTCTAAACAGCTGATAAAAACATCACAATAATCCACACCTCTCCAGTCCATCAGTTAATGTCTTGTGAAGAGAAAAGCTGCCTGTTTTTAAGAAATGAATCAGTCATTATGGCATTTTAAACTTCAAACTGTTGTTCCCATTGCTAAAATACAAGTCCATAATCCACACTATTGATTTCTCCAGTGAAAATGTCATCTTGTCTAAAACAGGAGAGAAATATGCACAGATCAATCACTGTTTACCAGTCAAAAGAGTCCAAAACAGTTCTAAACAAATATAAGGACAGATTTTGTTGTGAGAGGAAAACAGGAGATTGACTTTTTCACTGGAGGAAGCGTTATTACGGATTATGGACTTAAAATGTCTTTGTTAAAATGCCTTAATGATGGATGTGTTTGTTACAAACATGCAGCTTTTGGCTTTACAAGACATTAATTGATGGACTGGAGTGGTGTGGATTACTTGTGGATTATTGTGATGTTTTT